ATCCAACAGTCAAGAAGAATATCGTAAATAACGAAGAGAATCAAAATGACTTTCCATCACTTGTAGTCCAGTGCAATAGTCCTCATACAGCAATGATTGCTATCCTCATGGTCTATTACAGTATTCTCCTTATTGCCAGCAATGCACTTGCTATCTTAACCATAAGATTTCCACAAAATTTCAACGAATCGAAATATGTCGCATTCTCCACCTTTTCTCTTGGTCTGATGTGGATAGCATTCATCTTTACTTATCTTAATACAGCTGACAAGTTTCAAACTGCAGTGGTATCATTCACTATTCAGATGAGTGCCATGGCAGTGTTGCTGTGCTTGTTTGCCCCTCGTGTCTTCATTGTATTGTTCCTGTCCAAACGTACAGTGAATGATACTGATAATAAAAAGAATACTATGAGTGGAGAAGATAGCATGATGAAACCAAAAGTTTTAATTTCTTCTTCAACACAAGAAATTGTTAGTACTGATTTTAAGAATAATTAAAGAAAAGTTAGGTGAGGGTGTGTTTTATATGTAATACTGCTGCTAGTAAATGTTGTTTATTATTTGTAGTGTTTAGAGTTGATTGCTTAGTTTTGTTTCTTATTTTGTTTATTTTTAATAATAATTTTGCTGCAGTCAATGAAGAATTACATAGCCATTTGTAATTAGAAAGGGTAGAACAACAGAACATGAATAAGCATAGTAAGCCATTGACTACAAATGACCAGTTAAGTGTTCATCAGTAATTGATGCAGAGTATTTTTCAGAATCAGCTGATTTTTTGAAGTACATATATGTAGGCATAACTCAAAAAACTTACGTGACAATCAGCTCAAACTTTCTACACAGCATAAGTACATCAATATGTATCAGAAAATGTAATAAAAAATTGGGATCAATTCAGAGCCTTTTTCCAAAAATGCATGCATTATTAGTAATGTGGTAGTATTAGTATTCAAGGATTCACACCCTGGTTCAAAATAGTTAAACAAATTTTGCTGCCAATAAAATGGTTTTGTCTAGAAATTGGTACACTGTAACTTTTCAATCTCAATAGTTCAACAATTTTTAATACATCAATACGCATCAGTAATTGTGCATTTCTCTTACCTTCTACACAAATTCTGTGTCTATTGCAATCAGACAATAAGATTCACAAGTATCTCCAGTCCATAGTGAATCACATGAGCACACTCCTCTGTCATATGACCTGTGTTGATACAATCAGGTTTCAAATCTCATGAACACATATCACATAGTTGATACATTCTTAGTACACTGATCTGTACTGTGAGTCATGATCACTATAAAGGGAACAGAACCAGTTGTATCAACATGTTTATTATTCATTATTACCATGTACATAAAAAAACTACATTTTCATGTTTGTACAGCTTCAATATTAGGGTTCATGCCCCATTAGTTTTTTGCTAATACATGCATCAAATAGTAAATTGCAGTTGTAATGAGTACAACTTAAAGCAGAATTCGGTTTCAATGATGATTATACTTATGTAGCATAACAACACTATAACACAATAAGCATTAAATTGCAAAGTAAACATATACTCTTCATGATCGGAGCAGTTTAGAAAATTAAGTGTTAGATAAACAACACCTACACAAAATGATGCAATAGCTTAAATAAATACTAAGTGTTAAGTGTGTCTCTGGTCATTCAAATACACAATAATGATGGTGTATTTGTTGTTCTTTTGCTTTTTATTTCTTCAGTCTGTACAGAGTAGTGACGTACACTTTCAATACAACACTCCTCCTGAATCAATACTCACTACTGATGGTGGCAATAGGATCAATGGAGTACAGGATCGGAGAGGAAAGGACATCATTTTGGGAGGATTGTTCACAGTACATAATGATGCAGAAGGATCTGCTGGTGGTAAGTGTGGTAACAAAGTCTGGG